ATGAAAACACTAAATCCTTAGACCCTGGAAATTTCATCAAGGTACAGAAAATTCAAGTTTTCATCAACAATAGCCACAACATAAGCAATAAACAAAAAACGAAAATGCATTACTACCAAGCAAATTGACATCTCACAGAGGGCATATATTTGAATGGAAAAATGAAAATGCTTGTCACAAGATGAATATAGCGATCCTCTTGGAGTAGAAACCTTATTAAAAAGGGAAAAATACTTACATGGTTTGAAACAAAAATTTGAACAGGTCCAGCTGCTGCAAAGAATCCCATCTGTAGGAATCACAAATGCAGTTATCAGTAAAGCAGTAGAAATCCATGGTTCATAAGATAATCTTATCATTAAGTGAGGAGACTAGCAAATAGAAAACAGTTACCTTGTTGACCATGGTCACAACAGCTTCTAAGATCTTGCCTTTAAATGTTCTAAAGACAACACATTGATACTTCACAGGGAATGTTACAAATCCTGTACCATCACGAATCAAGCCTTTCCCAATATTCTGTATACCTGTTATAGCTACCACGAATCCATGTCGATCACTGCAGGAAATCAGAATACAATCCATTTAGTATTTCAAGTAAAATACTCCTTAAAACTGGATAACATTTGTGCCTTACATTTGTGCCTTAACAATAATATTACAATTAAATAAGTACATTTTTAATTTTTCTAAATATTATATTATTTTTTAGAGTTACATGTTGTTCAAGTCTAACAATACTATTCAAGTGTAGTTTGTGCAATGAAATTATTAAAATGACATGAATAAAATAATATAAGAAGAGTTTTATTAAGTATATTTTAAGAAATTTATATATTAAATTGCACAGATTATTTTTATAATTAATTTATAAATAAAGATTACAAGACACTTAGAACCTGTTACTTTGCTCAAATAAGAAAGTTCCTCTTCGTTCTTTACTTTCCTACACTATTTTTTTTTTTTAAATATTCTTGGGTAAAAAATGTGTCTTGAATTAAGTGACTTTATAGAAAATACAGATTTATAGAACACTATTATAAAACTGTAGTATTGTAGGATGGCATGCTATGTATATTTTTCTGCTACACTAGTAGATCTTCTATCTATAGAGGTGTGAAACATGTAACTTAAAGCAACTAAGCTTTTTATGTCTATTTTGATGATTTTTTTTTATTGATATTTCCTTAATAGGTTCACTAATTATCAATTTTATTGATTTTGTTTTGTCAAAAAAATTATTGATTTTGTGATTGAGATACAACAATGACACGATGTAAAAATAGAGGAAAATATTTGAGAAATAACAATTTCAAAATGATTCAATCCACATAAAAAATAAGTATGTCTTGCTTATCTAACTCTTTTTGATACTTAATGAATGTTCCCTTGAAATTAATCATACTTGAAAGATATTGAGATCAGATTTGGGTATGTAGTTTAATTACTT